TCCTCTGTCGAAGATCGGCCGGTCGGTGTGAGCTACGAAATAAAGAAATTCGAGTTCAAAATCAAATCGTTCGATTTTTGCGGCAGACGTTCGACGCGCGTCTTTCATGCATCTCGCGAGATCTCGCAATTGTACGGAAAATCACCTATTATGTGTCGGACTGGGCCATAGTTCAACCACAAACTGTGTTTGTCACCCGTGGGATACATACATTGACAATGTAACTTTTTGTTTGCGACATTGTGACATTCGTTCGCGAGACTGTAACGTTATACTTTAATAACATTGTTATATACAATTAGAAAAAGGGACAAAAAGATTGATTTGATTGATATGTGATTCTGACATTCTCGAAAAGTTACCAAGCATGTACTGTAACAACCTATATATTGTCTGAAAGCTTAGATATGGGCGAATGCTTATTTTAAAATTTAATGCGTTTGCTTGTAGTGAAATGAAGAGATGGACTCGGGTGGGCTTGAGCTGCGGTCTGTTGCCGACGGAAATTAAAAAGAATTTATTACGTAATGCGTAGTTATTTATCCTAGAGAAAGAACTCCAATGTTGACACAGAAAACGAATCGTCCCAGGAACCAAAGCAAGCAGTATTAGTACACTTATATTAACTAGTTGTATAACCACCGCCTCCTCGGAATCAATGGCTTCGAATCTTCTCAGGCCGATTCCAAGCCAGAAACACATCGAGGTTGGGGTGAGGGCGCTAGACTTATGAAAGGAGTATATTATCCCAGTCTATTTACGCAAATCGAACAAGTGAAGTCGACGCATTGTGCGAATTGGTTTATCCGTGAACGGGACACGTCGTCTCTGTGCCCTCTACTGTCCAAACAATTACACAGGGTGTCAAGAGAAGTATTATAATGAGTACATTAGGCCTTGGAGATCAATATATTTTTATGAAAGTTCTAAAAATGCAATATGAACGAAAACATATATTGTTTTTATTACTGTTCAATACTCCATATTTTTAATCAACTCAGATTATGATTTATCATAAACCAAAACGTAGGACAGTATTCGTTGGACGAAGAATCAAAACTTTTAATGCGCATGTGCAGTGGTTGTTATTGCACGTACCAAAACAATCAGTGCGCATGCGTAATAAAAATACTCAGATATGTGCTACAATAAGTATTTTCGGTTCATGATAAATCACAGTCTAATGTATCTATCAATATACACTATCAAGCAACAGTACAATACTAAAATGTCCATATTGCATATTTAATATTTTTGATATTTGTTATAATACTATTATTTTTATATCTTTATCCTGTAGTTATAAAATCCCCAAATACTGCTCCCAACGTTCTAAATGTGAAATATTATCAAAACTGTTGGATTACAATGCTTTTTCAAAAAATGAAATGAAATAGACGTGATGACCACATGTCCTTGTACGTTACCACGGTTTGTCTCATTTTATTTTATTGATAATTTTTAAAATACACATGTATGTATTTGTTATTGTTTAGTGACGTAACACTAATCAGGTACGTGCCAAACGCAAAACATCTGCTTCGTGGTGTTAAGATTACAATTGCACCAATCCCCAAAGTCGGTGTGGTGTTAATTCGTGATTCTTCCAAAACAGGATATTACGTAGGTTTCTCCTATCATACGTTTTGAAGGAATCTGAAACTCAAATATTTACTCGCTTGTGGCTCTCAATAACATGCTCACAATTTGTATAAAACAAGTTAAAACGGAAGGGTCGTCACCTGCGCCAGCGCGGGAATTGAGTCCCAAGCGACGATAACACACACTAAAAACGCAAAGGCTCATGGGTAGACGCTTGTTTGTAAACATTGACACGCTATGACCATCTGGCGCATTTAGTCAAATTTTATTAAATTTTCATTTGTCAACTGTCACTTGTTTATTCGAGTTGTCATGGAAGTGTATGGAAGGTAGTGGGAAATCGTAGGCCATATCAGATTAGAAAGATGAAATAGAAAATATAAAATATCGAACATTTTATTTGTGTGTTAAAATGTTATGATTTCTCACCAAGGCAGTTTTATGTGAAGCAACTTGTTAAAGCTCTCCTGTTCCAGGTGCATATTATTTGAAGCAATCTAAAACACATCTTAGAAAATAATACTAACAAAAAAAAGATTAATATAAATTACTTTGATTGTATCCAATAGGAATGTATCGATACCAAATATTCATTAAAAGACACAAAAGTGTTAATAAGTGTAAATAACTCGAGGCTCATGTTGAACAGTCATTTTTTTAAATCGTAATATTGCAAATAAAAGAATACCCGTTCCCGTATATATATGTTCCCAGGGAAGTTTATCCGATATTCCCGTTACATTACTGGAGTGCTGAGGACATGATATCCATGGCCATAACATAACTCGGCGATACTAAGAAATCCGTATAAGATTGCTGGTACTCTGCACGATAACTGAGCCAACAATTACGCACCTCACATCTAGGGTTTCTAATCACAGTGGATCTAACGATGACTATATGTTTGGAGACCTTCGACCTTGTAAAACCATAGACCTTAGAAAACAGGGACATGCTACTGTAGGTATCCCTTTCATCACGGTTTTTAGTAACCGTGCTTTCATGTAACCTCAGTTATAATCCGCTACCCAATTAACACCTTAGTGAAACTGACAATAAAGATATGTCAACACCACTGTTACATCCTCTCCTGTTCCACAAGCCACGGTTACTTTTAGCATGGAGCTCCATGCTTTTAGTAACCGTGCACAAGCCACGGAGGTACCATGGAAGTCTCCTTTTAACTCCATGCATAAGCTAAACATGGCTGCCAGGGAGTAGCTATACAAAATGAGCCAACTTTGTGGTTAGAAATTAATCAGAAAAATTACATTTGATTAAAACTGAATAGCCAAGTCCATTCTATTGATACGAGTGAAATTGAAAATTGCAAAGTTAACAGTTTTTATATTACTATGAAAACAGGAAAGGGAAATAGGAGTAACAAAGAAAACAAGAAAACAAAACTGCCTAAACGTAAACAATGGCCTGTCAACATTTGTGTCATTATAACCAGTGGATTTTTCATCATATTTAAAACAGGTATAGCATAGTGCACCCGTTATACACCGACAAATGTGAATATTGGCACAGCATAACTTATCAAACGTATAAAAAAGCGTAGAAAGATAACAACTAAAACTGTTTCAGATGTATAGTATGTATTAATGGAATTATCTATACAGGAGATTATATCCCACGTTGCACACAGGAAACTGGATTTCCCTTTGTCTCAGACAGAAGTTCCATGTCCCTGTTTTCTAAGGTCTATGGTAAAACCAATCAACTAGTGACGTAACGATTGGTACACCATGGTTCCAACGCATACTAGTCTGACATCTGAGATAATATGGATAACCAATTATTATATAAAATGAGGGCATAAAAGAGTTCGGTATGCAAAATGATCTTCACCACATTAAAGAAGTCGTGTAAATTGCAAGATGACCACAAAATCGTCAAAATAAAAAAAGAAACATCTACTTTCAAAAAATACAAATGCAAATTAGTGAGTCCGTGAAAAAACTTCGTATTTACGTCAGGCGGTGTCCTTCGTAATTCTCAAAACGTGTAACGTGTGCGTTTTTTTTAAAAATAAATCCTATAATTTAATCAAATCATGCCCAGGCGTATACGAGTATAGCCGAATAGAAAGTGCAGTTTGGAATTTGTTTTGTAGATTTGTTCAGTGTCAATTTCATAAATACATGTACAATTCCTTTCCTTAATCCACGTCATGTGTCATACGTCATACAGGTCATACACATCTTGAATTTTCAAGGTGAATGTTCCGGCGAAGCACTCCACTATCACCTTGAAGTATTTCATTAGGACTACGTGTATGTGACAATGCCCTCACAGTTTAGAATCAGTTTACCAACAGCCAATCATATTGCTTCTTTCTTCAACGCGCTTGGCCAAGCTATCATAATCTTCGGGGCGGAACTAATTCACGAGACGCTCAACGTTGCTATTTAAGACGCGCACCACTCGCACTCTACCTTGTATTTATATGGGCTCTGCGCGAGCTGCCGGGTGAGCTGCTGTGAAACACCGTTCGAAAAGCCGGTGAAAATAGCTAAAATCGAGAAAACAGCACAAACTTTGAAGACATCCTAAACAACCAAATTTAAATATGTTGCATATGTAGGGGTAATCTTGTTACACTGTCAGGG